GTAGTATTTTCAGGAAAACTGCCAAGTGAGGCATGAGATAAAATAATATATCCAGAGATGCTACATTGCCAATTTGAGGATGCAGATGAGTAATATTTTTTAGATCCAGTGCGCTGCTGACCAGGAGTCAAAGAGCTTTCCCGTGGCATTGTTGTGCTGAGCTTGGGTCGAGTAGGATACTGATATATATGCTGGGACTCTGCTGAGTCTCTGATGTGAGGGAACAATAATCCCAAGGATGGCACACCACCGGAAGAGAAAAAAAAAGAGTTGGGACTTTTTTGGAGCTTTTTTACACCCTTTTGTTTCTCTTTTTTACATGTTACAAACAGGTACACTTCTGCAAATTAGAAAAGTGATGGTGAAATTACTGTTTTCACAATATGTTGCAGAACTCTCCACATTCTTCTCCGCCTTGATGTTTATGATACGAAAGACATTGCTTGGTACCAGGCCCCCAACAGCCTTGGTCAGAGCATAAAGGATGGCATACATTTCCATTACGAACTACAAAAAAGTAGAAAAGAAATAACTCAGAAATCATAATTCATATAAACTACTGCAGCTCAATAATAATCATCAGCAGCAAGCAAAGTTAGCTATCTGACACAATTAAAGAGAAAGCAGGTCATATAACAGTATACCTGAGTATGTAAATCAATTAGCAGAAACTGTCTAATGACTGTCCAATTAATCATTGCATGATTATAAATAGAGATACTCAATAACACATATTATTATGTTTGGGCCTAACAAAGCTAGCAATACATTTATTGTGAAGGTTACAGACCTGATTGACAATCATGCATTCATGCCAAAATGAATACATACACTCAAAAAAATACATTATTCAAATAGATTCTTAAAAAAAAAAAAGAAAACCCATAAAAAACTAGTGTCAGGTTATCTTAAATATATAGACCTTAGTAATCAAAGGGTAAATATTATAAGAAGGACTTTCCAAAATGATTAGACTTGAATAGATAAGGTACAGAAACTGCAATTTAAGAGACAGAAGCGGAGACTACAGTATAATTGGAAACCATATCACTTGAAATGATGGGCCGCTTAACAGGTATCAGTAGGAGGAATAATGCTTCATGTATACAGCTTTGTTAGGTGCTAAAAAAACAAAGCCATTATATGTAAATACTATTAGTATATTTTACTTGTCCTTGGCACTGGGAGCCCTATGTTGCAAACTAGCCATGCCTGCTGCCAAGAACAAAATTTGTTAAAAAATGACAACTCCAAGACAAACTGCCTGAAAACACGCACAAGGGCACTATTAACAGTTAAGCAAATATTGCCAAAAGGCCAGGAAAAAAACAAAACACAATCCTTTCATTTTCTTTCCTTTTTCATTGTTTTGCTTGATTGCCCAATGATCGATCTGGCAGATATATATATCGATCTGGCAGATATATATATCGATCAATCTATCGATCTGGCAGATATATATATCGATCGATCGATCTGGCAGATATATATATCGATCAATCTATCGATCTGGCAGATATATATATTGATCGATCTGGCAGATATATATATCGATCGATAGAGAGAGAGAGAGAGAGAGAGATATACAGTAATACCTTGGTTTACGAGCATAATTCGTTCCGGAAGCATGCTTGTAATCCAAAGCGCTTATATATCAAAGCGAATTTCCCCATAGGAAATAATGGAAATTCAGATGATTCGTTCCACAACCCAAAAATATTCATATAAAAATGATTACAATACTGTACTGTAATCTAATACTGTACAAAATATAAAGACAAATAAACCAATTACCGGTACCTTCGTGGCCGGTGTGAGGGGGACAAGAGAGAGGAGGATTATTGTGTAGGACGACTTTCACTATCACTAACGGAATCACTGTTATCTCTTGACTCAATGGAATCTTTTTTATTTCGTGAAACCGTAACAAGGAATCTATCCAATGTGACATGCATTGTCGTTAAACAGACTCATTGCTGGCACTGCTACAGCCTTATTCGAGTGGCGCTTTTCTACAAAATGTTGCTCTTATTGCAAGACATTGCTTGTATATCAAGGCAACATTTTTCAGAAATGTTTGCTTGTCTTGCGAAACACTCTCAAACCAAGTTACTTGTAAACCAAGGTATTACTGTATGTATTTTACTTCACTTTTGAGGCTGTGGTGTGCTGTGATCCAAGAATTTGGCACCGTAATTGTACTAAAATTGGTTCAAGTTTTTTTTTGTTTTTTTTAAGGGTAGCTCATTCCACACCCAGGTTGAAGGATGTATTGTTTGTTGATTCCTGTGTGCAATATTTTGGCTGCTTTAGACTGACCTCTCTGCTAACACTAATGTCCTGACCTTGCTGTCTGAGTTGACCTAGCTGAGCCTCTTGCCCAATGCTCTGCTGCACATTTTAGCTTTGATGCTCTGCCTCTTCTATTGGCATGGACAATGTTTTGCTGGCTTGACCCGTACTTATTGTTAGTTCCATCAATGGCAAAGTTTTGGGTCAATTTTAATTCTGTTTTTAATATATATCTATAGATATCGATCTATATATCTATATAAATAAATCTCCCATATGTAGTTGGCGACTAAATCGAAAGGGTAGGAGCCACTGCTCTCACTCATTCAATGGCCATGTACATTATAGTTTGAACATCAGGCTATTTGCAGCAATTCAGATATGCAACATGTGAACAGAAACAAATATTCATGCAACATTTCATTTTTACCTGATCAAAATATTTAAGTCTTTAGTAAAATAAAGCAATTAAATGCAAAACAACTATACATTCCCATAAAGCCCAACTGAAGTCTCATATTTGTATCTTTTTATATTCCTGTACCACTGCATGTCATTTGTGACAGTTTTTTTGCTCCCCTTCTGTTTACCTTCAGTAAAAATGCCGCTTTCTGCTCTGTGCCCGGTGCTGGCAGAGTTAAGTAATAACCACACATCTTAGCACAAGTGTCCCCACACAGACTTTTTTGAAAGAGGAGTGGCACAGTAATGAGCTCATCTCTCTCATCACTCTGCTTTCCTCTACTTTCTGCATTTTCCTTGGAAGAACATGACCTAATGGCTCCTATTCCTGCTGCTTCTTCCCCTCATACATTGCAATGTATATGCAATGAGTGCAATGTTTAAAACCAGGTCAAATTCAGGTACTTACACTGCTTACATTTAAATAAAAACATATAATAGTGTGTTAATGACAACAGAGATGTGTTAATTTGTTTCTTTTATATCTGCCTAGAATAAAGCTGTGTATATATAATGTGCAGTGGCATACCAATAGACCTAGGTGCTACTAGGGGGCCTGGCGTAAGAGGGGGCTTCATTGGGGTGGGGGGGCTCATTGGGAAAACTAAACTTTGAGGCTTCCAGTATAGAATGACTAAAGTCAGATCTGAGGATGTTCTAGTCACAGATCTCCCTCTGTTCAGGAAGAAGCATTTCCTTTGATATCTTAGCAGTGAAGATGTATTGCCCTCTGAACTTCTGCTACAGACTGAAATTAACCTGCTGCCTGTCCTTCATACATATTTCATGTTAAGATCAATGACACATATTGTCACAGTTGACTGACACTGACACCTGCTACAGAGAGAGTTAGCCAGGGAGCCTCTACCTTTTGCTATGGAGCCCCATGATTTTTAGTTATGCCCTTAATAATGGGGATCTGCAATATAGTAAGTTACCCTTGCTGCCAGTTGGAGTAATTAGGTAATTTTCTTTCACCTTACAAGGCACAATCAGCCCTAGGCCCCTTTTACACCATCCGCTCAGGAGATCCATGCACAGATCCCCTCCTGATGGGAGCAGTACGGATGGGATTTCACCCAGTGACATCTGTGTCCATCCAGCTGACACAGACCACACTCCATGTCGGTCTATGGGGAATCGGATGAAACATTACATGTGTCCATTTACATCAGATTACCCCCAATCCAACACAATCAGGTCCAATAAAACTGAACACTGTACTGTTTGCTTTTCCAGACATGGCCAGACCCAGGGGCAACTTCATGTAAATCTGGCTATGCATAGACTTACAATGGACTTCCGATCGGGTCCGCTTAAAAAACTGACAGGCGGACCTGATTGGACCACCCATCTGAAAGGGACCTTAAATAGAGGTTTGGATTGTATTCCTTTGGATTTACTAGAATGTCTGACTGAATGCATCATATAAAAAGTTATATTTTGTAGCTAAGAAAGCTTTTGTTCTTGATGACATTTATAAAATTTCAAAAATGCCAAGCATAAAAATAGATTTTACATAGATACATATGTTGATGGCAAGTCAGCATCATAATAAAAAAAAAGTAATAATATGTAGTGCCCATCACCTTTTGTTAGGTGGCTACTAAAAAATGTAGTGATTGCCAGAGCTGTAGTCAGTCTGGCTGAATTGTAGTTGGCATTTATTTGGTTTATTCCAGGTGTTCTGGCATTGATTGTACTTTCCTGAGTGGAGTGTGACTCTGCTGCAGTGTGGGACAACCAATGGGGGAACACTGAGTGTGTGCGCAGTCCTTTGGCAAATCACTGGGGTTCTGCTAGCTGGTGGTGCATGCTGGGACAGGATATATATTCTCAAGGGAATTGCCATGTGCTCAGTCCAGTTCTGCTGGAGCACTTGCTCCAATACCCACTGTCAGCGTGTGCTCCTATTAATCCTACACTGTGGAATACTGAAAAGGACTGGTGAGTCTGAAGTTCTGTCCTATCTATTTTCTTCATGGATGTCCTAAGCTCTAAACCCTCTCTCCCACTGCATAAGTTCTAATAAAAGTGCTTCAGCATAATACTTAATTGCGACCATTGTTGCTGCTCATCTCCTAGACAGGCTTGGAAGACCCGTTACATTCTCTGTGGCCCATTAAAGGGTGCGCTACAAATACATTATCATTCAGTTTTTAGTGTGCTTGCCTAGATGATGCACAAGTCTTTTCATATATTCACGTATGGCAGATCTTCATGCTCTTCCACTCGTTCACTCATTCTTAAATCATAAATGTAAACCTACCACATTCTTCTGGAGGGCTGTTGTTTTTAATTATCTCCGCTCGGTTTGTTCTAAACATAGGCTTCCAGTTGATGGAATCCACAAAGCAAAGATTTTCATTTCTTTGAATTCGAACATCACCATCACTCACTTCTTTTAGTGATCGCAATCCCAGAGATGTTATTTTTGTGCCTATTATTGCAAGCGAGACATATCCTCTAGAATATAACAAAGAAAACAGCTGTTTCAGTTTATCTGTTTATTTTTTTCTTCTTGCACGTTATTATATATTTTTTCTAAGGATACATTCGACACATCAAAAGCTAAGTCCATAATATGACAGCCAATCTATTGGATAAATAAATCTGTAACTTCATGTGCAATAAAATTAAGGTTTTCTGCATGTAATGCTCAACATTTGAGCTGCTTATGCTAGTTTGTCTTCTCTTTGCTTGTCTGGGATAAGTATACCTTCCTTCTTTAGGTCAAGGCACATTTGTTTCTTTCATTGTCTCAGAGTGTACTGATTAAGGGGAACAATTAAGTGTGTAAATGAACTTTTAAAGTTTATCTAAAGCCAGAATGTTTTTTTTGTTTTTTTAATGTACCATATAGTAGGTAATTGGTTAAAAACTCCTGCAAGACTGTTTTAAGGGCAATGCAGTTCATTATGGTTTTGAAAAAACTGCTTGGGCAAATTTTGACATAGTGGTACACTAATTCTGAAGCCATTATAACAACAATCCCAAACATCCCTAATTGAGACCCCCAAATTGTATTAATGGAGAATAACAGTATAGGACATAGCACAACAGCTGCTACTTATAATAAATTAGTTCACATTCTCTTTTTAGGCTTGAAGGTGCCCATACACCTTCCGATTATTGGACAAAACTTTTTGTCCGATGATAGAACCGTCGTACAATTGTCGTACGGCGGCCCCATCCTGCCCCGATTATCGCAAGGTTCAATCAGCGGTAGTTAAAAAAAACCACCTGAACGAAATGCGGTAATCGACCACACTTATTTTCGTTTGCGCATGAGCAGTGTTAATCGTACGACTTTTGACGGACGGAAACGCCACCAACCATGCGAAAATCGTACGATCGACCAAAGTTTTCAAACATGCTCGAACGTCAAAAGTCGTACGATTGTACAGTACTGTCGGTCGGGCAATACATACACACCGTACGATTGTCGTATGAAAAGTCGATTGCATACGATTATCGTATGATAATCGTAAAGTGTATGGGCACCATTAGTTGCTGGGTCTGATTTGCAGCTGTGTTAGTACTATTGTATTTTACAAACATTCTGCACAGAAGGGTCAGTTTGCTCAGACAGAGGAGGGATCAGAAGATCATGGTAAGACCAAAGGACTCTAGAAAAGATTTATATTTGCCCCCTTATTAATCCTAAATCCAAACTCCTGGAAAAAATTATAATTTATACACCGCAATGGCTGGCATTATGTGCAGACGGCTTTCTGCAGGGTTAGAGTTTTATACTTTGCAGGGGTCCTTCACACAAAACAGTGTTATACTGTGCTAAAACTGCAATCTATCCTCTATATTTTTGCATTTTTTACTTTGAATAAAGGAAAATTAGGGTTTGAAAAAGCACTTGTGGGTTTAGCCAGTCATTTGTTTGCATATTAGTTCTTCATTGTCTGCTTAAGATGGTCAGGCAGGGATGTGTCCCTTACCTACATATGTTCTGCAGGAAGGAATCCCTCTTTCTCATCTCAGAAGGTTGGGAGGTATGGTCCTTGCTCTGCTACATGCCTGACCTCATGCTGAGAGCAAATTCTTCCCCCGGAGTGTATATAACAGCATAACATAACAATCCAGTTTTGTTAAGAGGAATGTAAACAACCACAGGGCTGTTAAGATTACTTAGGAGCTAGAAAACAGCATATGATAAGCATATGTTCAAGCATTTGGCTGGAGAGTTACAGCAAGTTCTTAGGCCCCTTTCACATGGGTGGTCTAATCTAAACAACTGACAGGCAGACCCAAATGGATGCCCAACGTCAGTCTATGGGCAGCCATGTGTAAATGGACAGGTGTCCGTTTACACCTGGTTTCCCTCTAGTCCAGCCAGGACCGGAAAAACAAATGGATCAGAGATCCCTTTCACCGGACCTGATCATGCCAGATCGGGGGTAATCTGATATAAATGGAAAAGTGTCATCAAAATGGAGGAAAAAACTGGGCAGACATGGATGTCACAGTGGTGACATCTGCTCAGTGCTGCTCTGATCAGGAGAGGATTCGCACACGGCCCATGTGAAAAGGGACCTAAAGGTTCCTTTCACCTCTGCCTCCATGAGTCATCCTCAGAAAAACTCAGTATGAGGCATGTACCAATGATTAAGAAATGCCTGCAGTTAAAAGCCTTTTTATTCTTCAGATGCCTTAGTATTTTCATATACTTACGAATGCTTTGTCCTACCCCTGATTATTTCAAGGTTTTCAAAAATACTTAAGTCAGCATAAATTTCTGGCCACCACTGAATTACTAGGTATCCTGTAAAAGAAATAGGGATTAATTTAATACTTTTTAAATAAAAAATAAAAAAAGTGGTAAGTTTCATGTCTGCATAATATGTCTGTGTTCTTGTTGTAAGCATTGATATTTGCATAATATCTATGTAGTGGTCAGTCAGCATCACTTCATATAAGTTCAAACAAGCAATAAGCAGCAATGGGACCTGCTGCTGTATTCTCCGATCTAAAGCTGGCCATACACTTGTAGGTTTCTGATGCCGTCACAGACTTGATTAATGTGATTCAAAATTTTAATCTGACTTTAACATTCGATTTTGGAACTGAAGGGAGTTTTTCTATAAAAAGCACATTCACTGTGAAGCTGCATTCACATATAGCGTTTGCATTTCCCGCACGGTTTTCGGTGCGGAAGACCACGCGGCAATGCAAACGCTAAAATCTTTCATCCGCATGGATTCCGCTCATTTCCGGCTATTATATAGCCACGAACGTGCGGAATCCGTCAAAAAAACTTGTCAGGGTACCGTGCACAGGTGTCCCCACACCGCATGCAGGTACCCACGCAGGCAGACCAAATTAGTGTAACCACACTGGATGAGGTTATGCAAACGGTTTATTGTTACACAGGAAACTACAAACCCCACCAAGACCCACAAGCTAGCACAAGCAGTAAAATGACAAAAACTCAAATAGAACAAAAACACACCTACAGCCAGAAGGAACAGCAAACGGGAACAGGGTTAGGAACTGTAAGGCAGGTGTCAGGGTAAGGTTACAGGATACTGGGGCTCGGGATACAGGAACTGGTAACAAGGAAGGGTTCAGGGCTGCATACCGGTGTAAGGCTCAGGACTGCAGACCGGGAACAGGTTCAGGACTGCAGACCGGGAACAGGGTACAGGGCTCAGGACTCAGTCAGGGGAAGGCAACAAAATACTGAGCCGACGTCCTGACTGCAGGGAGGGCCTATTTACCCTCCCAGGAAGTACCAGGTGATGGGATGATCACTGGCAGCTGGGGTACACCCGCAGGTGAGTACTGGAGCTACAGGTTCCAGCACCACCCAGTGGTGGTCTGGTTCCTGACAGTTGCTGGCTGCTGGAGACACCCGCAAGCAAGCACAGGCACTGCAGGGCCCGGCTCCAGTGCCACCTGGGGGTGCTCTGGATCCTGACAGAACTATAGTATATGGTATGAATCCGTGCGGAAGCCACAAATGTCTAAACAATGCACATTTAAAGTGCATTGTTTTTTCTGTTTAGAGCAGCTCCAGTGTGCATGGAGCCACATAATTTTGTTCATTCGAGAAATATTTTCCATCCTGCTCCTTCATTTTTTTTCTTTGCTATGGTTGAAAACAATAATTGATTTGACCCCATTAACTATAACAAAATTAAATGAATGTTTTGAAAATTATTTTTTTCTAACACAATTCTACTGGTGTATGGCCAACTAAAATGAAGAATCCAGGGAGACTGGACCACTGTTTTAAAAATTGTAATGTGAATGAGAAACAACATCCTATATGTCCACGAGCAGCATCACTGGTAAGCTTAATGACTTCTAGCAGCAACCAGTTACTAATATGCAGCCAGAGACAAAATGTAACAATCTGGTGCTATCAGGCAGCTTTACTGCCCTGATATTTTCATAAAGTCTCTTTTTCATTCAAACATTTTATTTTTGTGTAAAGTATACCCCCTACTAGTTTTCAGGTGCCACCCCCTGCCCCAGATCCCACACTCTCAGTGGCATGGTTCAGCTGCACTGCTTCCTATATGCCTAAAAAGACAAATGGGTTGGGTCTTAAAGCAGAACTTACACCTAAAAGACTAGTTCTTAGTAAAAACTAGAAATGGAAAACTGTGAGCTTTCCCATTTCTCATACTCCACTGTGAAATGACAGTTCTGGTTCATGGTGACCAGGAATCAATCAGTGTGGTTCACGATCATGTGATCAACGCGACAGCCAATATTGATCATTTGCAAGCCAAGGACTCATTCAGTAAATAAACCTCCACAGTCTGCAGGTGCCACTGGAGCCTGAAGATGGCATTGTGTCTCTGAATAATACTTTTATCATCAGATACAAATGCACTATTCAAAATAATTATTATTTTAAAAAAGTATTTTATTTTTCTATTTTTTGACCTATATTAAAACACCTGAAAATATGATCTCTGCAGTGCTCCTAGTGAACTACCTACATTCAAGCCACTTATACTATGAATCCACACATATATCATAACAACTGAATAATCCACACCAATGTGATTTAAAGTGCTATTGTGCTCAGTAATAGTAATGATGCCTTGTTTCACTCCTCTATTTTGTCATCAGACTGAGGTCACGAGGGAGGGGCACTGACCACTAGAGGAAAAAGCTCACATTATCAAACTGTCCTCCCTCCTCAACCATCTTTATGAAGACCACTCACATGCCTTGGGATAACCAAGCAGTATTGGGAAGCCACTAGTCGAGGCTGCGCCCTAGGCAGCTGCCTAGTTTGTCTAGTGGCAGCACTGGCCCTGGGTGTGCTAAATGGGGGTGGGCTACATATGAGATATAAGGAAGTGAAGATGGATGGACCTTTTGTTAATCTAGGTTGGAGTTAATAGAGCGATATTTCATAGTACTGTTGAGCACTTGGTCCATGTGAGTGTGTTTGATTTATAATTTATGTATTTTAAATAAATGGAATCACACTATTAGCCTTTTATTCTGCCTGTTTTTACTATGTGGGAGAGGTAAAAAGACAGATGTCGATGATCGCAATCTCTTTGTAATGGGGCTTGGACATGACTTGACAATATTGCAAGCTGATGACAAGACTGAGAAGTAAAACAAAGCAACGGACTCTGCTAAATTAGGTTTCTGGCACCTAAACGTTAATGACCCATGGTCATTAAAGCATTAAAATCCCCCTGCTGCTTTAAGATGTGGCCTTAGAATAAAAATATCCTGTTAGAAATTGCCTTGTTGCCTTAATTGCCTTAACACCTTAATTTTTATATTTAAACATTTCTGATAGTACTCGTAAAAAAAAAAAATAAAAAAAAATGTAATGCTATATTCAGCAACATGTAGAAAAAAATAAATGTATGTATTTATGGCACAAATCACAATTCAGATAAAATAAACACAATAATAACACTACACAATCATGTAACATTATAAACTAATATATTATGTTGTATTAAAGTAGTAATAAACTAATATCATTTTAGGCATTCATGAACATACCTGTAATTATCATTTTAGGCATTCATGAACATACCTGTAATTTCCCGTATGGTTTTTAAGTTTTTCAGCTTTTCTGGATTTAGTTTTGGTGTATTGGTGAAGATGTCACTAAAAAAGTAAGCAAACACAACCTGAATATGGAAATGTATCAAAATGCTGTTTTTTTAATGTAAATTCTTTATTTTTCAAAGTTTTACCAAAGTCAAACAAGGATCAACAGGTAAGGACAAAAATAGCAAGACATAAGGTCCACTGTAGACAGGCCCAGGTTTCCCACAAGGCCACCGAGGCCAGGACTCGGGGCGGCAGGGTGCCGAGAGGCGGCAGCGGAGTGGAGTCCCCCGACGCCCGGAACATAACGTTCCAGGCGCCAGGCGGTAAGTTGCTTTCTACATTTAGTCCAGCTTTGGGAAGGCAGGACTAAATGTAGTGTGGGGAATCCGCTCGCTCGTTAACAAGTGATTGCGGCGATGTCGCCGCAATCACTTGTAAAATGTGTGCTGCCGTCCGTCTTCCCCCCGCCCCCCCACCTACCTCTCTCTGCTGGCTCTGTCTTCGGGACTTCGTCCTCCCCCTGGCCGCCGAGTCTGTCTCCTGTCCCTGCCGCAGATGTACACAGTGAGAAGGGACAGCTGTGCTCTTCCCATCTCAGCTGTGGCAGGAGTTCTAGCACAGTGCTCTGCTACAACTCTTGTTTTGGAGGTGACAGGGTCAATAAAGAGAACCCCTCACCTCCAATTGCTATCACACAGGGCATTGTTTTCTCCTGTGTAATAGCAATAAAGTTAGGTGAAAAAAAATTGATTAAAAAATAATAAAAATAATAAGAAATAATTTGCCATTCTCCATTGATTTGGGGGGGGGGGTTCGGTTGGCGGAGAGGGGGCACATTGTGGAACCTGGCCTTGGGGCGGCAGGGAGAGCAAATCCGGCCCTGACTGTAAACTGCCCGTAAATGTATCACAAAGGGAAAAATAGAAACCATTCTCTGAGAAGGAGCTGACAGGATCTTGGCTAAAACCATATTTGATAGGATCTGGAAATCCAATACCTCCCCTATGTTTAGGTTGGGACATGAGATAGTGATGAAGGCAACAACACTTCTGGGCTCACTTGTGATCCGCACCCGACGTGGAAAGTCCATATTCTGTTTTATATCACAGAAATCACTGCGCTGGGAATGCGTGCCTAACTACCTGATTGGACCAGCCGCAACAATGTGTATAGGTGAACAAATGTAAACCAAATATGTTGCGCTCGGTCTAAGTGAACCAACTGCACACTAAAGTGTTAATAAACAAATCTGTGTAAAAATTACAACAATCCGTGTGAAAAAATTGATTCAAGTGGATTATTTACATATGACTAGAAGGTTCAACACACAAACATAATAAGAATAATAAAAATCAACACTGGAACCTTCAGAATTAGCG